TACAAAAATTAGCTGGGCATGGTGGCACGTGCCTGTAATCCCAGCTACTCAAGAGGCTGAGGCAGGAGAATCACTTGAACCTGGGAGGCAGAGGTTGCAGTGAGCCGAGATCATACCACTGCACTCCAGCCTGGGTGACAGAGCGAGACTCAGTCTCAAAAAAAAAAAAAAAGAAAGGCTCTTTTCTTAGGTTTCTTTTTTTGTTTGTTTGTTTGTTTTTAAAGAAATAACTAGAAACAAAGATTACAATATGCTTCAAATCAGTGGTTTCTGGTAATACTTCAGTTCTGGTTGGTGAAGAAGGGAAATAGAAAATTAAGACAATTTTAAATGATGACATTTTCAGTTACAAGTTCAATCAGCACAGTCATCAACTGACATTTATTCCTAACCGCTTGGGTGAGTGGCACTGAACCAAATCCCACAAGAAATATCTTCTGCCTACATGAACAAACCGGTTCTTGAACTATTGCTCTCAGAAGCTATAGATAATAGCAGTTGATTTTAATATGTTGTGAGATTCCAGCCTTGGAATCATGAGGTTAAAATAGGAAAAACCATACCAAAAAAAAAGTTTTTAATAGAAACTGGGCCAGGCGCAGTGGCTCATGCCTGTAATTCTAGTACTTTGGGAGGCAGAGGCGGGTGGATCACGAGGTCAAGAGATCTAGACCATCCTGGCTAACACGGTGAAAACCTGTTTCTACTAAAAATACAAAAAATTAGCCGACCGTGTACTAAAAATACAAAAAATTAGCCGACCGTGGTGGCACGCACCTGTAGTCCTAGCTGCTTGGGAGGCTGAGGCAGGAGAATCGCTTGAACCCAGGAGGCAGAGGTTGCAGTGAGCAGAGATCGTATCACTATACTCCAGCCTGGGTGACAGAGGGAGACTCCGTCTCAAAAAAACAACAGAAACAGAAAACTGTATCTACTGTTTGTCTTGAAGAAAGAAATCATTGTCTTATGCAGTATGACACTAAACATATACAATTGTTATTATTATTTTTTGAGACAGGGTCTTACTCTGTCACCCAGGCTAGAGTGCAGTGGCCCGATCTCAGCTCACTGCAACCTCTACCTCCCAGGTTCAAGCGATTCTCCTGCCTCAGCCTCCCGAGTAGCTGGGATTACAGCCTCCCGCCACCATGCTCAGCTAATTTTTTTATTTTTAGTAGAGACGGGGTTTCACCATGTTGGCCAGGCTGGTCTTGAACTCCTGACCTCAGGTGATCCACCCTCCTTGGCCTCCCAAAGTGCTGGGATTACAGGCATGAGCCACCCTGCCTGGCAGCATATACAATTATTTAAAAATATTTCACCAAATATTATTGTAGTATAAGAGTTGAAGTTTATTCGAGTAATCATTTGTATGAATAATGCAAGGTAAACTTTTATTTTGACAAAAATAAGGAGGTGAGTTGATTCAGAGCTTATCAGGTACAGTCTTAAAGTAAGTGATTTATTCCTGCATTGAAAACTAAAATACAAAGACATCTGGTGGATGTCAAAAATTTATGACTAAAATCTATTTTTACCCGACCTCCAAGGTTGATATCACATTTAATATTAAGGTGTTTTTTATTCTATACTAAAAGTGATTATTTTATGCCATCTCTGCTGAAAATTTTTTTAAAAAATTATTTAAGTGTTTAAGTATGGTCAGATTTTAAGTATCTAACATTCTCCAGTAGTTCCCCCTCCCTTGCCTATTCCTCTCCACCCCAGTCTCTTTCTAGTAGGATTCCTATTGCTGGCTACCCAGTCATTACCATTCTAACCATTTAAGGTAGCTCTGCTTGGTTTATTTATTCTGAGTACTGCAATTCAGTTTCCCTTTATCCTGGCTTCCTATGGCAAGTTGGCAAACCAATTTATTTTTCTCCCTTTTATTTCAACAACTCATAATTTAGATTGGTTAGGAGGATATAATGTAATCAGGACACAACCTTTTCCCCTCAGAATCTGTATTTGTGAGACTTCCTCCTTTCCCGGCTGAACGTGCTGAAGTCAGACCGAGTACCTTGTGAAGGACTTCAGCCCCCACAGTTCCCTGTGTGCGCATGCCCTCTCATCTTACAGTTGTCAAAGTGCTTTTGCCAGAGCGGTCACATAATCAACCTGAAAGAAGAAAATAAATACTGTATACTTTTAAATTTTATCGATTCTTAAAAACTGGACACTCAAAGGTAACTGCTACTAAGATTTTGTTACTTGAAATTGGGTTATTGCATGTAAAAGAATATCTATTGTGTGTGGTGGGGGAGGGGAAGGAGGTATCTATTTCTCACTTTGCTGTAAATAAGCAAAAACAAAAACAAAACAAAAAAACCCCGAAAAAACAAAGAACAACCCCAAGAACACAAAACAAACTATACAGGCAGTTGCTGAGAGACGTTGCATACTACCTTTGTAAATTTTATCTTAATCTATTGCTTACCTTTTGTTTGAAAAGGTCTTATTTATTAAAGGTGTGTCTTGACCTTGACAAAGTGAATTTATGCAGAAAGCGAAATTTATATTTTTAAGGAGTGTTGAGAAGAGAAATGGGTGTTCCTGGTATAAAATTTTTAAAATTCAATGAATATATTAACATTGATTACAGCTATTATAAAATGTTCTGAGTCCAGCTTACTTTTTGGCTTTTTTGCTGAGGTATAGCATTAATTTTTCCATGAAGAGCATGTAGTTTAAACTGAAGGCATTAACAACAAGCATTGATAAAAGCAACCGGAAAAGCAGAGTGATATTAAAATTATAATCAAATGCCTATTTCAGCCATGATGATATGGCTATTATAAAGACAATTCTAGCTCACTGAAAGTGACTCAAATCTCAGATTATAATGGTTTACTGCAGCACTGTTTAAACCAAGTATGAAAATGTCTGTTTCTATGACCATCTTCTTTGGCAGCAATAGAACTTTGTCTTTCTAAATCAAAGCTTCATTTGCCTCTTTGTATTGTATTTTGCAATACCGATCAAAGCCATTGTTTTAGACCAAGGGAACTGAGGAACATGAAAGCAATATTAAACAGATTTTATTGGTAGTAGCCGGCAATCTGTGTTGTATATTATATTGAGTTGGGTTTTTTCCCTGGGGGGGTTGAAGGGAGGAAAGGCAGGGGAATGAGGAATAGAAGGGAGAGCAAGGTGGCTGCGAAGCATTTCCTTTAGCCCACCACTATTTTGTGTATGAAACTTTGAAATAAAAGATATTAATGAACCATTTTAATGATAGTTTTTAATAAAATAATCGAACTACTTTTAATCCCATTTCTTGTCTGATATATTTTGCATAATAGTTAATAATTTCATTTTCTGATACATTGATTTTAACAATAGTTATTATCATGAGGATGTCTAGAGCCAGAGCTTCTGTGTGTATCTGAATGCCTTTTCACAAGTGTCCTGAGAAAGATTCCTCTCCAAGTATCTGGGTTAATTAAGTAACTGCATTAAATTTATTAATAACTTAGTTGCAATTGTACTGAATCATCATCTAAAAATAATTATATGTTTGGTCATATGCCCCTAACATTCAAAATATTTGTTTTTAGGGTCTCAGAAGTGTAATATTTATATATTTAAAGCAATTAAGATGTTCTAAGGACAAGCTAACTACATGTATGGCCATCTCTGGGTTTTGAGTGATTAATTTTCATCCTTGAATAAGAAAACAGGCTATATGGTAGAGGTGAATATAGCCCTTCTATGTGAGATGGAAAATACCATACACTCCTTATATGGCTAAATGAAGCAGTGATGGCAATGCACTATAATTACAATGTATGAAAATTTGGGACTTTGTACTCCTCTATTTTTAACACTTTTGCTAGCATATGGTAATTCAGGGTCTTCAAACCATAGTGTTTCGCTGCTAATACTAGTGATAAGAGAATGGATTCTAAATTTGCTAAAGTCTTGTGACCAACAGCAGCAGGAGGATTCAAAATTGAAAATCTGGCAACCCCAGAATTATCTTGACTGTCTACTTAAATCTCAGGGTTTTTTTTAAAGCCCCACCCCCACCCTATCTCACAGGCGCTCGCTCGCTCGTGCGCACTCTCTCTCTCTGACCTTAAATCCAACCAGAAGCATTTCTCCACTCTGCAGAGAAATTCTCAGGCTCCTGTTGAGACCTGAAGCACTGAGATGCCAAGAAATCTCTTGTGCGGCAGAATTGGAGACAAGAAAATTGGGGAATAAGCAGAAAAACCATAATCCTTAGAGTAACAAGAAGCAAGCACTTCCAAACGTTTCAGTAGGTTTTTACTTCTTTAAAAACGTTTTTTTTTTTAAAACTGTCTCCTAACAAAATGGAGTAGCTGCAGCTACTGGGAGGCCAGAGAATGATTGTGCAGCCGAGTCCTTCTAACAAATGCCAAGGATTTCCTCCCTCGTGGTTCGCTGCAGCTAAATGAAACAATTACCAACGCAAGAAGGCAGTTTGCTAATAAAGAGGGCTGAAACTGTGTTTTTGTTTGTTTTGTTTGTTTTTTTAAAAACTGTTCGAGCTGGGGAAGGGAGAAGAAAGGGTCGTGTGTGCGGTGTCTTTTTAACCTTGCTGAAGGACGCAGCAGTATTTATTGACGTATGCAAATAACTGGGGGAGGGTGGTGCTTGGGAAAAAACAGGAACCAGAATCAGTTTCTCATTGCAGGGCGAACGCTCTGAGTTCCGGTGAAGGGAAAAGAGACGTGGCGAAATTGCTGTCTTTCTGTCTTATAAGCACATCTCTCACTAGTACAGAAAAGGAACCAAGACTTCTGAAAGGGTGAAGACGCTCTCACAGTATCTTTAGAGACCTTGCTCGACACCTTCCCTACCCCCCACCCAACAGCCCGACCTGTTCTTCTAAATGGGAGATTATGGATTTGCATTGCAATTGGCTAGTAGCGGTGGCGATGGATTTTCACAAGTGAAACACCCGCCCGCTTCAGCGAGGGACATTCATGATCACATTGACAATAACGCGTCTCTCTTTTTTCCCGTTTCAGCTGCGCAAACCATGCAGGATGATTTACTGATGGACAAAAGCAAAACCCAGCCCCAGCCCCAGCAGCAGCAGCGGCAGCAGCAGCAGCAGCAGCAGCCCCAACCTGAGTCCAGCGTATCTGAAACCCCGTCCACGCCCCACTCCTCAGAGACCCCCAAGCCGGAGGAAAACAGCGCAGTGCAGGCCCTCAGCCCAGCCGCTGCCCCGCCGGCCCCCAGCGGCTCGGACAAGATGCAGATGGAATCACCGCTCCTGCCAGGCTTGAGTTTCCATCAGCCCCCTCAGCAGCCGCCGCCGCCTCAGGAGCCCGCGGCGCCGGGCGCGTCGCTGTCGCCGTCCTTCGGCAGCACCTGGTCCACGGGCACCACGAACGCGGTAGAGGACAGCTTCTTCCAGGGGATCACCCCAGTCAACGGGACCATGCTCTTCCAGAACTTCCCGCACCATGTCAACCCAGTCTTCGGAGGCACTTTCTCCCCGCAGATCGGCCTGGCGCAGACCCAGCACCACCAGCAGCCGCCGCCGCCTGCGCCCGCGCCGCAGCCGGCACAGCCGGCGCAGCCCCCGCAGGCGCAGCCCCCGCAGCAGCGCCGCTCGCCCGCCAGCCCCAGCCAGGCGCCCTACGCGCAGAGGAGCGCCGCCGCAGCGTACGGCCACCAGCCCATCATGACCAGCAAGCCGTCCTCGTCTTCGGCGGTTGCAGCCGCTGCTGCCGCAGCCGCCGCCTCGTCGGCCTCGTCCAGCTGGAACACGCACCAAAGCGTGAATGCAGCCTGGAGCGCACCGTCCAACCCCTGGGGCGGCCTGCAGGCGGGCCGGGACCCTCGCCGGGCGGTCGGTGTGGGCGTGGGTGTGGGTGTCGGGGTGCCTTCCCCGCTCAACCCCATCTCGCCACTCAAAAAACCCTTCTCCAGCAACGTGATCGCGCCGCCCAAGTTCCCTCGCGCGGCCCCGCTCACTTCTAAGTCCTGGATGGAGGATAACGCTTTCCGGACCGATAATGGTAACAATCTGTTGCCATTTCAGGTAATGCTGTGATGCACCTGCACACTCCTTCCCCCTGACCCGCTCCTTTTGCCCCTTCTCTGACTTTTAATCATCTACCCGCTTTTATTTAAAAAGAGCAGCAATGTCCAGCTCCTCTTTCTCCTTCCGAAGCCTCCAGTTCTTTAGGGCTGTTCCATTCTCGGAAGATGAGGTTGGGAGAACGTTGCGATTGCTGGAGGAATCGTATTCGTCCCTTCAGGGTAGAAGAAGCCGTTTTCTTTTAGTTTATTTTTTCCTTCATGGTGTTTGTACCTCTTATTTTGACTTCCTTTGACAAGTAAAGCTGCAAGTGTGTGGCAGGGTGCCGGCATAGTCCCAGGATGAGTAGGCTGAGATTCCTATCATTTTGAGTAGCTACACATTTCAGGTTATGCAATCCTGAGCTCAGGGTGCCGCCTGCAAGCTGTCCACACCCAAACCACCCTGGCTTTACTCTTAAAGAGGTTAACAACCCTTGAGTGGTGCTATTTCAGACGGTTGCATATGCTCAATTGAACTAATGTGAACACATGTGTTTATGTCTCGCTAAGGTGCTAGAATCATTAATAACAATCAGCATATTGCCCCTGCTGGGAAAATTATGAGTGTGAGATTCCAATCAACACTCACAACTGTGTAAGGCAAGAAGGTGGAAGAGTGGAAATTCTAAGGGCAACCCTTTCCATGTTACCTAGAAGAAGGATTTTTTATTTTTTTTTTGCAAGAGGTAAGAGACAATAGGACGTGACCTTCAGAGCCATATTGCAATGGAGTCTATTTGCTAGCTAGCACTGAAATATTTAAAGCTGCAGTGTCCTTCACCAGTTGGGTTAAGAAGACAATACAGATCAATTACATCATTTGAAACTGGGCAAAGTGAAAGTCTTGCAACTTTAATGAAAAATGAGTCTTGTGTCTTGGTGTTAAATGCCAATGAAAAACTCAGGAAGTGCCCCAGACAAAAAGGTTGAAATGAAGAGTGTCCTTGTTTCTGTTCTTGCTGTCTGATCTAGTCCACAGCCATCGCAGTTGGCAGCGTCCTGGGCATCTTGGGTTGGAAAGGTGTAGTACGGGTGTGTGTTCACGGGCGGCTTTTGCTCCCAGGCAAACGCTTATCCTTCACGTATAAGTTGATTTGGTTATAAGCTTCTAGGCTCAGTTAAATAAAAAGGGGAGAGGGGAAGGCCTCCATCAAGACCCAATTTGGATGGTCAGGGAAATGAAGCAGAAATCCTTTGAGGAGTGCTTTGTAGAACTGACAGTTTGACAGAGGTATAGTGTCAGGTGCAGTTGCAGCCTTCATCTCTTTATATTGCAGATGTTTGGAGTGGCTCCCATTCATGAAGGAAGAGATGAGGTTATTGAGAAGAACATGACTCTCTAGGTTAGAGTAGTAATTTTTAACTTTGACAGTTCAAGGGAGTCCCTGAAACCTCTAAATTGTGTATATGAGAGTTTTTAACTAGAGAGGATCTTCACAAGGGATTTTCATAACGATCCTTCAGGAATGGAAGATTTTAATATTAAGTTGTATTTCTTCCCATTCTAAAGTTTGTTTATTTTAATAAAATGAAGAGATTTTGCAAGATGGGATTCGTTTCATAGACAAAAGGAGGAATTTGCTTTCTGGAATTTATGTGCTTATTTTTGGAGGGGGTAGGGCAGGGAGGCTGCATTTGGTAGGAGAGGCCCTCTTTTTCTAACATTCCCTCTCTTTATTCTCATGCTCCCTACCTGAGTTCAGTCCTGGAGGATAACCTAAAATCTTACAGGGAGTTTCGGGAGCTGATAATGTAGACAGATCTTGTTATCTTTTTCTAGGAGTTGACTCTGAATACAACTAGCTGTTGGTGAATTATCTCCTGGCATGGGGATTAGCGAGAGATTAAATCTACATAGTTTCCTCAAACCTGATATTGATGAGTAGTATAGGGATTGCCATTTGTTACTCAGCAAACCATTCACCAATGATGCTAGTAAGAGCCAAATGGACTGGATTGAGTTTAGTCTCATCTTTCCATCCCTGGTGATGCTATTAGATAGGCAAAAATGGCCAAAAAATTTGTAGGAGGACAGATTTTATTGAAAATTGAGCATTATTTATTTGGCCTCAGGAAGAATTACATATACATTATGTCTCATTTCTTTTTCATAAAACGGAGCTTAGGGTGTTGAAGCAATTTTAGGATCAGAGGAGGAAGCTGGTTGTGCTTTGGCTGGAATATTAGACTTGGTTTCTGTTGATAACTGTACCAAGTTTGTCTTAGAAACAAAGAACACCTGAGTCTTGTGTGCAGAATTTTGTGTATGTGCATTGTTGAAATAGTTTTTCTAAATAAGGCAGAAAATAAGTGGTTCTGATGACTTTTTCAAAATATTTACTCTGGCAAATGTGATTTTATTTAAATCAGAGTTTATAGAATACCAACTTTATTTTTTATTTAACAGACTTTTTGAGCTATTAATAAAAGAGTCTTTCTACAGTGATCTACTCTAATGTATGTTAAAATTTTAAAAGAAACCCATTCTACCCTGCACTGCTTCTTTTTTGCGAGTTTCTACCAACACAATAGATTTTGAGTAGCTTTACTTACATGGTTTATATTGTAAAAGCAATCACTATCACTGTTTTTTTTTTTTTGAGACAAAGTTTCACTTTTGTTGCCCAGGCCGGAGTGCAGTGGCATGATCTTGGCTCACTGCAACCTCCGCCTCCCTGGTTCAAGCAATTCTCCTGCCACAGCCTCCCAAGTAGCCGGGATTAAAGGCGTCCACCACCACGCCCGGCTAATTTTTTATATTTTTAGTAGAGACGGGTTTCACCATGTTGGCCAAGCTGGTCTTGAACTCCTGACCTTAGGTGATCCACCTGCCTTGGCGTCCCAAAGTGCTGGGATTACAGGCATGAGCCACCATGCCTGGCCTAGCAATCACTGTATTTGAATGTTGTTTTACAAACTATAATACTTTTTTATTCTAATAAAGTTGATTTGTTTCCCTGGGTTTTGGTGGCTGCTTTCTTAGGGATTACTTTTATCTAAAAGTCACTTCATTTCTATAAATAGGGAAACTGAGATCGTGAGAGGTAGAGTGACTGAACTCAAGTCCTACAGCTCTAGCTAAGTTTGTTGTATGTGTCCTTAATGTCCATGTAGTGCAGGTGCTGTCTGGTAGAATTCATTTTAAGTAAGATTCTCTTTGGACTCCATTCAAAGGGTTAGTGAAGTTTTCTATTAGGCCGATGCATTTTGGTGATGCACCTCTCAGCAACAGAGCTCAGGAACAGTGAGGCACTCCACTGAAGGGAATTATATATATGAGTCTTTCTATATTTCTATAAGACAAGGAAGCCTAGGTATATATGAGTTTGGCGCGTAAGTAATTGAGGGTTTTGCCATTACTTTTTTGCCATAAAAGTAATGGCAAAACCCACAATTACTTATGCACCAATTTAATAAAAGGACTAGAGCTGAGATATTATGTTGTAAATTTGGGTTTAAATAGCATTGCTGTCAAGAAAACATTAGGAGGGACTTTTGAGAGCACCCATTCTAGACTACTCTGCTCATTTTACAGAGGATAAAATCAAAGTCCCAACATGTGAGGTGACTTACCCAGGTTCAGGTTGATAATTTCTGTCAGAAGCAAGCTTTGACAGCAGATTGCCTGGATTTAAATCTCCATTTTGCCAGTTACTGGCTTTGTAATCATGAACAAATTATATAAACATGCTGGCTCTCAATTCCTCACCTGTAAAACGGGAATAAAATGTGAAACTAAATATAAACTGTGTAGCACAGTGCCTGGCCCATAGTAAGGTATCCCATAAATGTAAGGTTATGACTATTGTTATTGTAATGGTGACCATAGGCTTTGCATGATCTTGTCATAATATTGATTACTGATTTTTTTTCTTTTTTCTTTCTTTTTTTTTTTGGAGACGGAGTCTCGCTCTGTCGCCCAGGCTGGAGTGCAGTGGCTGGATCTCAGCTCACTGCAAGCTCCGCCTCCTGGGTTCATGCCATTCTCCTGCCTCAGTCTCCCAAGTAGCTGGGACTACAGACGTCTGCCACCTTGCCCAGCTAGTTTTTTTTTGTATTTTTTAGTAGAGACGGGGTTTCACCGTGTTAGCCAGGATGGTCTCGATCTCCTGACCTCGTGATCCGCCCGTCTCGGCCTCCCAAAGTGCTGGGATTACAGGCTTGAGCCACTGCGCCTGGCTCTTTTTTTGTTTTTGTTTTGTTTTTTGAGACAGTGTCTCACCCTGTCACGCAGGCTGGAGTGCAGTGTGCGATGTTGGCTCACTGCAGCCTCCACTTCCTGGGTTCATGTGATTCTCCTGCCTCAGCTTCCCAAGTAGCTGGGATAACAGACCACACCCAGCTAATTTTTGTATTTTTAGTAGAGATGGAATTTCGCCCTATTGGTCAGGCTGGTCTTGAACTCCTGACCTCAAGTGATCTGCCTGCCTTGGCCTACCAAAGTAGATTACCAGTTTTTCATACACTGCATTCTAAATATCCCCAAACGTCAGTGTAATGCCATTTGTTCTTTTTTCCTATCTGATGGTACCCTCATGATCAGAGCCTTTGGCCATCGTAGTAATGTGATGATCCAGCATTTACCTATGGGCCAGGCCCTGTGCCAAACACTTTACATCTAGTTTCTCACTGGAACTCCTTTGAGATAGGAACTCCTTTGACATAGGAGGACTATTATTATTCTTGCTTATTGTTTTGTTCTGTTTTTGTTTTTTGGGGGGACGGAGTCACGCTCTGTCGCCCAGACTGGAGTGCAGTGGCGTGATCTTGGCTTACTGCAAACTCTGCCTCCCGGGTTCAAGCGATTCTCCTGCCTCAGCCTCGTGAGTAGCTGGGATTACAGGTGCGCGCTACCATGTCCAGCTAATTTTTGTATTTTTAGTAGAGACAGGGTTTCACCATGTTGGTCAGGCTGGTCTCGAACTCCTGACCTCGTGATCTGCCCACCTCAGCCTCCCA